TTTAAAGCCACCCAGTCCGGGTATCAGAAAATCCTTAAAGAAGGTACCCAGCAAGACCAGAGCGCTCGCCTCTCTATCAGGCCGTGTCAGCTACCTTTGGTGCCGCAGCCTTCACCAGTCTCTTCCGGGAGTGTCGGGAATCTGGTATCCCTTGCCACCATGCCACGATTCCATTCTCAGACCCCTATGCCGCTGCTGAGAGTTGTGTTGCCATAGGGGTTGGAAGATGGAACCATGGCCACAGTTGGGGACAAAGGCGTCTGACACTTCCAGAAGAGTCAAATGTCAAAGAAACCGTGTCTGCTACCTTTGGTGCCGCAGCCTTCGCCAGTCTCTTCCGGGAGTGTCGGGAATCTGGTACCCCCTGCCACCATGCCATGATTCCATTCTCAGACCCCTATGCCGCTGCTGAATGATGTGGTGCCATAGGGGATGGAGGATGAAACCACTGGCCGCGGTTGGGGAACATTTCCGGAAGAGTCGAATGCTCAGCTGATTCTGCAGGAAACTAAAACTTTTAAACATGAAGGAGCGGCGTCCATTGTAAGTGATTCATCAGCATTGGAAATATCTTATAAACCTTTTGACTTTAATATCACTTTAAATAGAAATAAATTCTAAGAAGTGGAGCAGCGGAGGACAACGTCAGGTCTCCCCTCCATCTTGGGGGGGGGGGGTTGTTGTAGTCTGTTGCTCTCTCTAGCCGGGGAGGACGATCAGTCTGGAGGGTCAGTACTGGACATCCTGGTATCAGGCAGTGACACGGCGTGGGAGGACAATGACCTCGCTGTGGGCGATGAATCTCTCTTCTGTTACAGACGGAATCTTCGTACTCTGGATTCTGCACAATGGTCTCCTCCAATTGCTGACTTGCTGCAGCTTCTAATGCACATTGTGCAGCGAGATCAGAGGGCAGGAGAGGAGCCGCTACCGCTGTGCAAGACGAGGCTTGGTCAGTTTTAACTCCCCGACTGACGTTGCATTTGACCAATAACATTCCTGATGTTACAATATACAGCAACAGTATTATTTTTCACCTTTTGCCATTGGAAAGACATTATTGATCTCCAGCTCAGTGACTTTGCCTAGGCTAAGATGATATCATCGGTCTGCTGCAGGCAGGAGAAAGCATTTCCTCAGTCTCCCCTCACAGCGTCACAAATATCTGACACAAATCAACCACTGCTGCAGTTTTGTACATTGGTACATAGTTACAATGTTGCAGTCTAATTACTGGGGGATGGGAGACTGAGGAAATGCTTCCTCCTGCCTGCAGCACACTGATCACTGGGGGAGGGGAGATTGAAGAAATGCTTCCTTCTGCCTGCAGCAGATTGATGACTGGGGGAGGGAAGACTGGGGAAATGCTTCCTCCTGCCTGCAACAGACTGATCACTGGGGGAGGGGAGATTGAAGAAATGCTTCCTCTTGCCTGCAGCAGACTGATCACTGGGGGAGGGGGGATTGAGGAAATGCTTCCTCATGCCTGCAGCAGACTGTTGACTAGGGGGAGGGGAGACTGAGGAAATGCTTCCTCCTGCCTGCAGCAGACTGATCACTAGAGGCACGGGAGACTGAGGAAATGTTTCCTCCTGCCTGCAGCAGACTGATGACTAGGGGGAGGGGAGACTGAGGAAATGCTTCCTCCTGCCTGCAGCAGACTGATCACCGGGGAGAGGAGACTGAGAAAATGCTTCCTCCTGCCTGCAGCAGACTGATGACATCATCTCAGCTTAGGCACAGACACATGTCTGCAGCTTAGGGCCAGCATTTGAATTCTGCACACCTGGCTTGTACAGTGTTGGCGTCTGTGTAATCCTGTGTTGTCTCTCTCCGTCTAGTTCTGCAGATTCTAAGCGGCACGGCAGGCGTGATGCAGAACGGGAGGCTTTGGCTGTACTGCCCTTTCTCTTCCTCTCTCCTGATTCGCTGTCTGACGCTCCCTCTTGCTGGATTCATCCAGGTAAGGACTCCTCCTTGAAGCCGTGCTCTTGTCAGGACAGAGGGGGGTCACATCACATCTCATTGTATTTTAGAGGGACCCCTCGCTAATCTTTTCCTCGTTTGCAGCAAAGCGACTTCCGCATGTTACCGATATAATGACGCTGAACTCCGGACCAACCGACATATAAAATACATATGAGTGAGCCGCATTACCTGCCAAAGGATTTGTCATACTGTCCATCCACTCCTGAGATTTTAACAGCTCTTCTACTTAGCACAACCAGGTCTGGCATGGCAGGATACCTGATTTCTCTCTGCTGAAGTTAAATAACTCTTACAAGTCTTGTCCCTCCCCCAGCCCGTGATTGGACAATGAAATGAGGAGCAGTGACTGATGAGCTCATCTGCCTATCACTCTGTTCTCTCCTCCTATCAGCACTAACAGCACAGTGTTTATATCCTGTGTGGCTGCTGAGGAATATATGCATCCCGGACGTGCCCCCAACATGTGACTGGACAGTAAAAAGATAAGCAGCACAGTGTTGAACTCGTTTTCCTGTCACTCGCCTCCTATCAGCACGCTTATTGTCAGCACATAAACTGATTGGCTCCTTGTGCTGCTTGTGGCGGGCTCGGCGCGTGGAGCTGCGAACACGCCCGAGCACATGACTAATGCTGATCTGTCGTTACAACTGGGCGGAGCCAGCCGTGAGATCACGTCTGGCTCTGCCCAGCTGTCATTGCGAGGCGGGTGAACCATTGCAGGGGTGACACCAAAATGACTGACATTAATTTTGGTGTCACACCCTCTAAAAAGTCAGGTCACTCGGTCATGGAGTGAGAGCTCGACAGTGTCAGGAGAGAGGAGGGTACCCGGCGGGATGAGGTATGCCGCCAGGTGAACGTCCCTTCCTCTCTCTGCCGGCGGGACGCCCCTGCCCATACAGCAGCCCTTCGGTTCGACTGAACCGAAAGGCAGAGGCGATCCGAAGAGAGCCGAAGGATCAGCCGAAGCTCCGGCTGGATCCTTCAGCTCCTTTGTGAATAACCCCCCTATCAAAGTTCAGTCTCCAGGACAAGGAAGACGGATCATTAAAATGTAACATTTCCTGCGTCCTCCCTTCTTCAGACGGCTTTGTTTCTGCTTCAATAAAGGGGAGCGGCTTGCTCCGCCGGCCGCCTCAGTGTCTACGTTTATCTGAGGCCGTTCGATCTTTATTTGTGTATTTTAGCGGGGCTTCAATGAGACGCGACTATTTTTATCCCTCCGTCCCTTTTTTTTTTAATACGCCGACTCCATAAACGGCATAATACCGAGCTGACGATTAAAGTGTGGATAATTGGCGCGCTCTCCGGCCAGAATCCCAGAGCAGCTAAGTCCATATATTGTCATTAAACGGCGGCGGCGTCATCTAATATTAATGGACTTTTTTTATATAACGTTCATCCGTTATTTCATTACATTTCAGATTGCGCTCTCAGTGGAAACGCGTCCGTAGTGAGAGCGGGCCAACCTTACGTCTATAAAAGCAGAATGATGTATACAACGCATCGCGCTGAATTAGGCTTTGAGAAGCCTAAGAATTGTTTTTTTCGGAACTATTTGGGTAGAGCCGCGGCCAACAAAATATTGGAACCGCCTCAAAACAAGCAATGAGGCCCGAGGAGACCTATTAATAAAGCTGAGATTTAATCTGATTTTATTTTGCTTTCTTTGCCCCCCTCCCCCGCCTTGTCCACATCCTTTCCTTTTTTTATAACATATCTTATTTTAGACCCAGTGATGTGATGCCTGCGTCTACATGCTTCCCTATACATTGCAGGCAGATCATGGCTGGTGGGAGGGGCCAGCAGGGCTCTGTACATAGCATCACAGCGCCCTCCCTCGGTACGCCTCTCAAGATGCAAGCAGTGGGCCAGGGGCGGACTGACAACACATGGGGCCCCCGGGCAATACAAGATTATACATTTTTTTCTCCACACTATTTTTTAAATAGTGGGCCAATTTACTAAAAGATGAATTGCCGGGGAACTGGTGGGAGAATTTCAGAATCTAGACCAATATAGGCAATTTGGAAAGTGAGCTAAATGGCAGAATGCATGGCAGACCTCAGACCAGAACCAAGAGACGGCAGACTTCAGGCCAGAACCAATACACGGCAGACCTCAGACCAGAACCAATACATGGCAGACCTCAGACTTAAACCAATACACGGCACACTTCAGACCAGAACCAATATACAGCACACTTCAGACCCAAACCAATATACGGCACACTTCAGACCCAAACCAATACACGGCACACTTCAGACCCAAACCAATACACGGCACACTTCAGACCCAAACCAATACACGGCACACTTCAGACCCAAACCAATACACGGCACACATCAGACCTAAACCAATACACGGCACACTTCAGACCTAAACCAATACACGGCACACTTCAGACCTAAACCAATACACGGCACACTTCAGACCTAAACCAATACACGGCACACTTCAGACCCAAACCAATACACGGCACACTTCAGACCCAAACCAATACACGGCACACTTCAGACCTAAACCAATACACGGCACACTTCAGACCTAAACCAATACACGGCACACTTCAGACCCAAACCAATACACGGCACACTTCAGACCAGAACCAATACACGGCACACTTCAGACCAGAACCAATGTACGGCAGACTGGGTAGTTAGAATGATAATGCGACATTTTCGAGATCAGCCATCACACGCAGTCCGATCCCCGTTGGATGTCTCCCGCACACATGCGTTAATGGGCAGCTCCTTCCATGCCAAGAACTAGCGGCCGGCGAATCCGATTAGAGAGCCGCATCTGATGTGGGCGGGCTGGCCGGGAGCAGAGAGGCGCCGGAGGGAGGGAGCCACCGCACCCTGGGAGGACAAAGTACAGGGACGGGGGTCGGTGACGGGCCCTTTGACGGTAGCAGGCCCTCGGGCACTGCCCGACTGTCCGAATGGTCAGTCTGCCCCTGCAGTGGGCTGGTTCTTGGGAGGAGTTATGCAAATATCAGACTCCCTTGAAAGCAGGGTCCAGTTTGCTCCAACAGTGGAAAGACTCCTTTCTGATCCCCAAAGCTGATCCGATATTCCCTCAATTAAAATTATACAGTGTTACTTCCTATAAATAATATTCAGTTATATTTTGTGCATTTAGAGACACATTCTGCCCCCTTTTTGTCATTGATCTACAAAGCCGGCTTGAACTAGCTCCTGGGGAAGTCTATTGCACAGTTTTACAGCTCTTACTGTAAAGAACCCTTTCCTCAGGCGGAAGTTAACCCTTTTCTCCTTCAGGCACAAAGGGTGACCCCCGGTGCAATGACAGCAAAGTGAACATCTATGTGTTTATACATGTGTGCTGTAACCGTTTCCTTTCTTTTCCAGATCGCTCAGGCCGAACCCCAGAGAACATGTTCCCGGTCCACGGCGGAAAATCTGCCCAGTGGATGCCACCAGGTGTGCCAGTGTAGACCTCCACCATTACTGCCTCCTCCGCCCCCTCCTCCGCCACCTCCCAGACTCGCGGCGCCTAGTGAGTACACTCTATTTCTAATTGTTTGGCACTCAACAGGCCGGCATCACAGTCGGCTAGTTCTGGTGTATCGTGACCCGCTAGGGGTTTGTAGATCCAGAGTGTGTACTGCAGTGTTGGATCCGTCTTCTCTCTCTTATAAGTTTGGTTCTGAAATAGATTTGTGCCCAGCTTGACACCTGATTAAAGGAGAACTATGAGGCGAGTGAAAATCACTCATCCTCATAGCTCGAGCCGACGTGTGACAATGAAACTGTCACAGGTCGGCTCAATAGATCGGGAAGTGAGCGAACGCACACCGTTGCTCGCTCACTTCTCGTTTGTCTCCCTGCAGAGAGCCGCGACTGTCACTCACCACTCCCTGCAGGGATTCCCCCCTCCCCACTCGGATCTCGGATCCTCCAGCGCTGACTGGCGGACGGGGGAGGGGGCGAGTACAGCTGGCTCTGTCTCTAGATAGGCAGAGCCAGCTGTCACTCACGCAGCTGAGTAGATCTCGACATCGATGTCAGGATCCATCCCGGCTACGGCGGGCTCGGTATACCGCGAGCTGTAGCTCGCTATATACTGACTATTGGGTGAGGGTAGGACGCTAGTTTATGTCCTCCCGTGACCGTTCGGAGAACTATGTGGAAGAACACTTACACCCGTAGTTCTCCTTTAAGTCAATTATTATATGTCTTTAGCAACATATATTAGGTAGTGATTCACAGAGTACAATACTATTGACTTTAGTCCCCGCCCCCGAGGAGCTTCATGTACATTCTACGTACATATTGGTTGGTGAATCAGAATGCATACAGTAGAATTCAGTGTTGCAGAGTATCAGGCAGGCAACTAGTAGCAGCAGTGGACACATACTGTATGTCTCTTGAGTCAGGTTCACCCAAAATTGGTCTGTTTTGGGGCATTTGGCAGGAAACTGGAGTACCTGCGGCAAATCCACATACACACGGGGAAAGCATACACATTTCTCCCCTCATGAGGAAGGATGCCCGTGCTGCAAGCCGAGACTACTCAGAACTATGGACATAGAGTTGATTTTCAGCTTTAGATAAAGCAGAGAAGGGTTAGAAACTGTTGCAGCTACTGATGTCTGTGTCAACCTTTAGGAGATTTCCACTCACTTCCTGTCCCAGTGGCCACACAGGAAGTGAGGAAACATCTCTATAATCTAAACACAGACAGGAATAAAAAGTTGATAATACTTCTTTCCTCTTTGTGTCCCCCATTGGAGAGGTTATCGTCATTTCCTGCCCCAGCGAGCACTCGGGAAGTGAGGGTAAATCTCCCTACCTATTTTTTTTTTTTAAAGGTTTAGGTAGATCAGGGAAAAGGTTGTTTTTTTATTTCATCTCCCCTCACTTCCTCTATTAATAACAACACTCACTAGGGTGGGATTGTAGGGAATATCTAACCTTTGGGTTACCTACCCTGCCCCTGAGGGCTTACAGGTAGCCATTTTAACATTCATTGTGCACTTTTGAGGTTAGGAGCGCCTGATACAAAACAGCGATTGCTGTGAAATCTTTCTTGGTTAAGAACATCAAAGCTAACGCGTTTCGCCATCATTGGCAGCTGCTGCAAGAGATCTAAGGGTCACCGTACATGTTAAACTCTGACTGTACAATGAACTGTAGATTGGCCAGTATGTAATAGGAAGACCTACCTAAACTAACCAGACCCATCTCCATCCAATCAGGAAAGCCCTTGCACAGCACGCTTGTTGGTAGCTCTAAAGAAGATTGTACAATCACATTGCAATGGGGGTGGAAAGCTTTGGATGGGAGCAGAAAGCTGATTTGGAATGCACTGACAGGGGGCAGTGGTGTATTTTGGTTTTGTGCTGCCCTAGGCGAGACTAAAACTCGGGCACTCCCCTCAATCTAAATTTGCCGCAACTCCTTCCTGTTTAGGAAATTTTGCGCAAACCTGTCAGTCACTGGATACAGCGCGCACGAGGTCTCAGGAGAGCTGTGCATGGTGTCAGGTGGGCTGTATTGCGTCTCAGGAGAGCTGTGCGGGGTTTATGGTGGGCTTTGCAGGGTCTCAAGAGAGCTGTGCATGGTGTCAGGTGGGCTGTATTGGGTCTCAGGAGAGCTGTGCATGGTGTCAGGTGGGCTGTATTGGGTCTCAGGAGAGCTGTGCATGGTGTCAGGTGGGCTGTATTGGGTCTCAGGAGGACTGTGCATGGTGTCAGGTGGGCTGTATTGGGTCTCAGGAGAGCTGTGCAGGGTTTATGGTGGGCTGTATTGGGTCTCAGGAGAGCTGTGTATAGTCCCTTTTCCTGCATACACGTGCTGCTCCGGCAGCCCGAAGTGCCATCACTACCAACCGGATACAGTGCAGTCCCCCAGCCTGCTTCTGGGACATCCCACCATCAGATCACATGCTATGGCCAGCCCCCATCCACCCGCTGCTTCTCCTCCACCTCCTGTACAAAGCCAGCCGGACCGCATCTCACTGGGCCCTCCCCTCCACCGGGCAGCTCTCTAATTAGGTAGCCGCTTTTAGGACCTTGTTTGCCTCATTAGGCTGCCGCTTCTGGCTGATTCTGTGCCGCCCAGCCTCGGCCCACCGGGCAAGTGCCCAGTGTGCCCGAAGGTAATTTCCGCCCCTCTGCGCCTCATTGGTTTGGGGCAGCATTTTCTGCCGCCCCCCTGAAAAGTGTCGCCCTAGGAGAATGACTAGTTTGCCTTGCGGTAAATACACCCTTGCAGGGGGGCTATGTGATTGTGTACAAGCGAGGGAGGCCGCTTTCATTCAAATAATCCCTTGTGATCCTGGCAGTGAGGTCACTTCCTGTTATAGAGTGACCCCGCTCTGTCCCTGCGTTGTCACCCTGTTAAAGGGGCTTTGGATGGAGACTTCAGGTGGCAAGTTTCAACACACATTACCACAGGCATGGTTCAGTGTTGTCACCATCAGGAAACCCATTCTGAGCATTGCCATGCAACCAATAGTGGAGCGCATGTAGACAGAAAGAGGTTGCAAGAGATCAGCAGGACCGCAATGCAACATAGGATAAAAAGAGGTGAAAACAAGTATTTTATGAAGTCAATTGTTTATGATATGGAGTCCTTTGGCAAAGTAAATACCATTTACTAAATCTACATTAAACCCACAGACCTCCACACTATAAGAATTGGAATTAGGGTTCATTTATTTCTTAAATTTCAGGACCCCTTGATGCTGAGAATACAGAGAGCTGACACATCGGTTCAGTTTGGGTCCAGGAAATGTTAGCGGCTGTGAGCTGCGGGGTTATCAGGGGAGAGGCCTCATGGCTATAGAATTCTCCGGAAGGGAGCCTAGTATCTCTGAAAGCTTTCAGATGTAGCGTGGATTACTGCTAACAACTGGCTCCCTTTCTTCCCCAGCGAACGCGCCGCCGCTGCAGGTTAGGGGCAATTTATTAAATCTCCAGAAAGGGCGCAGCTTGTGGAAAAAGCGCACGTTGGCCGGTGGATCAAAAGAGCTCTTCACCTGAGATGTCCCGAGAAGCCGCTAATTTGTAGGAAAAGAATTAGAGCCGGATAACAGAATGTTCCGGGGGGAAAAGAGGGTTTTGAAAAGCTCACAAATGTTTTCCCTGACCTGACTGAACCGAGATGTTTCATACATTGTAACTCTTTCTGCCGAGCACACGAGGTTCCAAAAGTGTATCCACAGACAAAACTTTTTTTTAGTTTTGTAGAAAGTAGGGAAGAGTTGGAAGCCCGCTCATTATTGCCCTCGTTGTCCCATTGGGGAGATTTCCCCTCTTGTCCTCCCCTCACGTCCTGTGGATAAGGAAATAAGAAAAAAACAATCTCTGCTCACGGTGAAAGCTTTAAAAGTTAATTTCGAAGAGAAAAGTTACAAAGTAAAGATTAGCGAGTTGAATAATTAGCACGGGTGGAGAGCCCTAGACTGGTATTATCCAAGCATCTGGACCATCTTTAAGGTCCAATCCCGGACAGTTCCCATTTGGGTCTTTATCCCATTGGCGAAATCTATCCCTTTATTTCCTGTTGATAAGGAAATCAACAACTTCTGCTCATGGTGAAAGCTTTAAAAGTTTGTTTTTTGAACAGTTACAAAGTAAAAGTAAAGATTACAAAGTTGAGTAATTAGCACACGTGGAGATCCCTAGACAGGTAGTATCCAAGCATCTGACCACCCTTAAGCTCCAATCTTGGACAGTTGTCATGTAGGTCTCTGTTCCATTGGGGTGATTTCCCCTCACTTCCTGTTGGTAAGGAAATGAACAATATCTGCTAACGGTGAAAGCTTTGAAAGTTTATTAGGAAGAGAAGAGTTACAAAGTAAAAGACGTAGAAAGTCAAGTATTTACAACACGTGTAGAGCCCTAGACTGTCATTATCCAATCATCTGACCATCTTTAACCTACAATCCTGGACAGTTACCATGTAGGTCTTTATCCCATTGAGGAGATTTCCTGTCACTTCCTGTTGATAAGGAAATCAACGACCTCTGCTCACGGTGAAAGCTTTGAAAGTTTGTTTTTAGAAAAGTTACAAAGTAAAGATTAAAAAGTTGAGTAATTAGCACACGTGGCGATCCTGGCGTGGCGACGTGACGTGCTGGCTGTATCCAAGCATCTGACCACCCTTAAGCTCCAATCTTGGACAGTTGTCAATATAGGTCTCTGTCCCATTGGGGTGATTTCCCCTCACTTCCTTTTGGTAAGAAAATCAACAATCTCTGCGCACGGTGAAATCGTCAAATTTTATTAGGAAGAGAAGAGTTACAAACTAAAAGTAAAGATTAGAAAGTCAAGTATTTACAACGCATGGAGAGCCCTAGACTGGCATTATCCAAACATCTGACCTAACCATCTTTGAGCTCCAATCCCAGAGAGTTGCCATTTAGGTGTTTGTCCCATTGGGGTAATTTCCCCTCACTTCCTGTTGGTAATGAAATCAACAATCTCTGCTCATGGTGAAAGCTTTGATAGTTTATTAGGAAGAGAAAAGTTACAAACTAAAAGTAAAGAT